TTAGTTTCCGTTCTCTAACTTAAGTTTGCCTCAATCAAATGTTATAAAACTTATACACTATGCTTATTACCACAAAACACAGATCAAGTTTGAATTTTGGAAGCTTCACTTTAACCGTTCTAGAGTTATGCCCCTTTATAAATGGAAAAATTGCAATTTTTTTTGTTTCTGTTCTCTAACTTAAGTTTGCCTCAACCAAATATTATGAAACTTATACACAATGCTTATAACCACAAAACACAGATCAAAATTGAATTTTGGTGGCGTCACTTTAACCGTTCTAGAGTTATGCCCCTTTTTAAATGGAAAAATTGCAAAATTTTTATTTTCCTCTAAATATCAAGTATTTTTTAAAATTGGAGTTATCTTCCTTTGTCCATGATTATAGTTGAATCAACTACAATCAATGCTTTATACAATGCAATGTTTAATGTTGACTTCCACTGATAAAACACAGATCGAGTTGAATTTGGGTAGTGTCACTTTAACCATTATTGAGTTATTCCCCTTTATAAATCGAAAGATTGCAAAATTTTTAGTTTCCATTCTGTAACTTAAGTTTGCCCCAACCAAACATTATGAAACCTATGCACAATATTCATTACCACAAAACTAAGATCAAGTACAAATTTTTTGTTTCCGTTTTCTAACTTTAGTTTGCCTCAACCAAATGTTATGAAACTTATACACAATGCTTATTACTACATAATACAGATAAAGTATGAAATTTGGTGGTGACACTTTTACCATTCTTGAGTTATGTCCCTTTATAAACATAAAAATTGCTGAATTTTTTAGTTTGTCTCAACCAAATGTTATAAAACTTCTACACAACCATTCTAGAGTTATGCGTGTTTACAAATATAAAAATTGCTGAATTTTTAGTTTCTGTTCTCTGCTTAAGTTAGCCTCAACCAAATGTTATGAGACTTACACGCAATGCTTATTATCACAAAACTCAGACCAAGTTCAAATTTGGATAGCATTACTTTTATTGTTCTTCAGTGATGTCCCTTTTTAACTATATCATATGCAAGCGGGGGCATCATCTGTGTCCACATGTGGACACTATCCACATTTATTTGTAATGTTAAATTCTCTCTTATTATAAGTAGTAGGATAACTATATTTGGTATGTGCGTACCTTGCAAGGTCCTCATGCCAGTCAGACAGTTTTCACTTGACCTCGACCTCATTTCATGGATCAGTGAACAAGGTTAAGTTTTGGTGGTCAAGTCCATATCTCAGATACTATAAGCAATAGGTCCAGTATATTCGGTGTATGGAAGGACTGTAAGGTATTCATGTCCAACTGGCAGGTATCATCTGACCTTGACCTCATTTTCATGGTTCAGTTGTTATAGTTAAGTTTTTGTGTTTTGGTCTGTTTTTCGTATACTGTATGCAATAGGTCTACTATATTTGGTGTATGGAATGATTGTAAGGTGTACATGTCTTGCTGGCAGGTGTCATTTGACCTTGACCTCATTTTCATGGTTCAGTGGTCAAAGTTAAGATTTTGAGTTTTGTTCTTTTTTTCTAATACTATATGCAATAGGTCAACTATATTTGGTGTATGGAAATATTTTATGATCTATATGTCAGTCGCGCAGGTTTTATTTGACCTTGACCTCATTTTCACAGTTCATTGCTCAGTGTTAAGTTTTTGTGTTTTTGTCTGTTTTTCTTACACTATAAGCAAAAGGTCAATTATATTTGTTGTATGGAAGAATTGTTAGCTGTACATGCCTGCCTGGCATGGTTCATCTGACCTTGACCTCATTTTCATGGTTCATTGGTCAATGTTTAGTTTTCTTGGTTAATGTTAAGTTTATGTGACAGTTGTAATAAAGCTTTATATTTAGGACTATCAACACAATATCAGTGATTAGTAAAGAAGGCGAGACATTTCAGCGTGTGCACTCTTGTTTACAAAACTTCATAGTAAAAGTGGTACAGTTTTAGCTGTAAAAGGAGTTCCTATGGAAAATTGCATTGTCTATATTTACAGAAGTGCAATCTATAGATAAGGATCATCTGAGTTGGGCAGACATGATCAGAACTGACAATATTTTAACCAAAACTGTCATGCAGCTACTTTTATATGAGTTATTGCCCTTAAATGAGGATTTTTTACAAAGTTTTTGCAATTTTGGTTTTATCTTTAAAACTATAATATAAAATCAAAAATATAGATAAAGTGTTTGTAACTGGCAAAAATGATCAGCGGGACAAAATCTACAAATAAGTTAACTCTTTACAGAAGTTATTGCTCTTGACAGAGTGTATTTTACCCATGTTTTGTGGACACTTTAATAGATAGAGGGAAACAGTTAATGATCAGCCCGTAAATAACAATTTTTACCCTTTTTTACACAAACTATAGTAGACAGAGAGAAACTGTTAATGAGCTGCAGGACAAAATCTTCTAATCAATCAACATGTTGAAATAGACAGATAACTCCTTAGATTGAAGGACAATTTTTGCCCATTCCTGTTAAACTATTTTTTTTTTAATTTTCATTAGCCAAAACCAAGTTTTACTAGTCAAGGGTTTAGGGCTAGTTGTTTTTGGCACAGTCAGCATTTTTTGTGTTCTCTTTGTAAATTATTGTGAATATTCTTAGATATTGTATGTATCAGTTTTAAAAATAAGGCCAGGTAAGCAGCACAGGCTCCATTGAGCCTCTAGTTCTAATTATGATGTAATGTTAATATTCAGCGTAGAAAAGAAATGTTAAGTTTAAAAAAGTATCCAAATTTTCCACCTAACTAGTAGGCCAATTTATTGTATTTTTTTGGCTGTTCTGTAAAGACTCGTCTAGATTTGATACTCACAAGCTCTTGTAAATTTGGCTCTCCCAATTAATAGTCATGAGATTTAAACTGTACCTGTACTTGTTAAAAGTTTACATTGTGGGCATTAAAACTAGTGTCATGAATTTATTTTTGGATTCATTACGAAGGTATTATGAAGATTTCCATTTGCAAAGCTTCAGTACATGCCAAAATAAATGGTTTTAATCTTTTTCAATCTTATTTCAAACATGCCAGAGACCACCAGTTACACAATTCTAATTAAGTTGTAAAGTCCCTTTGACATAATTCAGGCTAAACAATTCAGTTTGAAAATTTAGATTGCTTGGAGATAATCATCGTGGTAAATTCTTATAAATTCTTATTCTTATCACATGGGAAACTGATTTTATACATTTGATGAATGTCAATATTAACACGTAGAGAGACATTATCCAATAATGAAAACAAACTTAACACATCACCATATTAAAATTTTATCAAGTAAGACCCAGAAGGATTAGAAATTAACAAATATAATGGATTTTTCTTAAAATGCTTTTTATTTTCCATTAAAGAATTGATGAAAGTCTTTTATAGTTTTTGACATAAATGAATTAGATCATTGATCATGTTTAACAAACACAGAAAACGCTAGTATATACCACTAGGTCACAAGAGACAACGTTCATTGACGTACAATTGAAAATGACAGCTTATATTCTTGCAAGGTCCATAACTTGTTAAATTGCATTTTTATAAATACTTGTGAAAGGTCCGTAGAGACTAAATGTTCTTGTTGCATACAAAATGGATGTTTCAGCCTTGGGATTGATTTGAATTTGGAATAATGAGTTGTTTATCCATTTTATTTATCAACTAAGCACTTGAAAATGGATCTGGCCATTGTGAAAACAGAAATTCAAAGCTGTACATGAGAATCCCACACATTCTGCTCTTATTATATTTACCAACAAAAAATTGCTTATAATGATCAGAATCAACTAATGATTCCATGATCAGTTTCTTGGAAGCGTCTTTACGCTTAATTTTTCCTTTCATAACTACACAACACAACATGGTATTTATAAATTTACCGAGGATCATAGAACAGCTGTTCACATGTCATGTTGACATTGAATATAAATTTGTTGCCTTTTGTGATTGTGGTTATCATTGAGTTTGAAAGTGATTTACTTAAAAGGCATAGTTGAATTGGGAAATGGAAATGAATACTTCATAAGCATGTGTGTTACATCTTCTGATTAGTAATTATTTTAACTACCAACTAAATATGAATTTGAATGCATTTCAAAAAACAATTAGTTTCATTTCGAAATATAGTTATCATATGTTTGTGACTTAAAATATAAGATAACTGGTAATTGGAAAAGGCTGTAGATTGTCATGCGAGAACATAGGAAAATACTGTAAAAATATTCCTGAAATTATAAATGTGCAACTTAGTACTGTCTACATCATAATTCACTACAAGGTCTACTAAAGGGAAATTTAAAATGCCCAACTTTCCAAATTGTTATTTTTAGATATAGATAAAGGAAGATGTGGGATATATGTTAATAATTTCAATGTTATATGTTATGTCTTATTTCATTGGTCAGCGTCATGGCAACCAAAAAGTTTATGCATATACATGTATTAACAATTTTCATGACATCATAAGTATTAATTCCTACACAAACAAAAAAGTTCTGTAAGTGTTCATGAAATATTTGATCTTGTCATGGTTGGAATTATAAGTAATAAAAGATTTTTTTACAGAGTTTATTGATGTGTAACCTCGACTTTTCACCATCTAACTTAATATAAGTTCAATTTTTTTATGTGAGTCTGTCAACCCTTAGCTTGTGAGTGTAAATCCAGCTCATGGTAAGGTGTGTTCAACCCTGACCTCTATTGACTAGGATTGCCAATTTACTTGCTGAAGGTTGGTTGTTCTTACTGGATACTCTGGCTTCATCCATCAATAAAAACTGGTTGCCCTGATGAATACAAGAGTGTTGACATAGGCATTAAACACCATCTGATGTTCACCTTAAAATTTAATCTCTCAGCAATCCAATATTGTTTCTATGGAATATCAAGTCAGTCTTTAAGTTTTTTTTCTTCGTCCTTTTAAATTGTGATCCATATGACATGACAGTCCTCAAATCAAATTTTAATGTTTCCTATTTTTTTTTCAGGTGAAGAAGCCTTACATGAATATCTGAAGACCAAAGCTGTAACAGTGGAGTATGGACAGCAGTAAAACAGGTAACCTAAATTCTCACTTTTATATGACATACAAGAGTTATTGTTATAAAGTTTGACTTTTTTTTTTTATAAATGCCATTGTTCAACATTGCACAAAATTTTAGATTATTGCAATTTCAGGAAACACTGCATACAAACAATGCTATTAAAATTAAAAATGTGAATTTTGTCGCAGAAAGCTCGAATAGGGATAGCGATCCGGCGGCGGCGGCGGCGGCGTTAGCTAACTTCTTAAAAGCTTTATATTTTAGAAGATGGAAGACCTGGATGCTTCATACTTTTTATATGGATGCCTCATGTTACGAAGTTTCCGTCAGTCACATGTCCAATGTCCTTGACCTCATTTTCATGGTTCAGTGACTACTTGAAAAAAAAGTTCAGATTTTTTGTAATGTTAAATTCTCTCTTATTATAAGTAATAGGATAACTATATTTGGTATGTGCATACCTTGCAAGGTCCTCATGCCCGTCAGACAGTTTTCACTTGACCTCGACCTCATTTCATGGATCAGTGAACAAGGTTAAGTTTTCGTGGTCAAGTCCATATCTCAGATACTATAAGCAATAGGTCTAGTATATTGGGTGTATGGAAGGACTGTAAGGTGTACATGTCCAACTGGCAGGTGTCATCTGACCTTGACCTCATTTTCATGGTTCAGTGGTTATAGTTAAGTTTTTGTGTTTTGGTCTGTTTTTCTTATACTGTATGCAATAGGTCTACTATATTTGGTGTATGGAATGATTGTAAGGTGTACATGTCTAGCTGGCAGGTGTCATCTGACCTTGACCTCATTTTCATGGTTCAGTGGTCAAAGTTAAGTTTTTGAGTTTTGGTCTTTTTTTCTAATACTGCATGCAATAGGTCAGCTATATTTGGTGTATGGAATGATTGTAAGGTGTACATGTCTAGCTGGCAGGTGTCATCTTACCTTGACCTCATTTTCATGGTTCAGTGGTCAAAGTTAAGTTTTTGAGTTTTGGTCTTTTTTTCTAATACTATATGCAATAGTTCAACTATATTTGGTGTATGGAAATATTTGATGATCTACATGTCAGTCACGCAGGTTTTATTTGACCTTGACCTCATTTTCAAGGTTCATTGCTCAGTGTTAAGTTTTTGTGTTTTCGTCTGTTTTTCTTAAACTATAAGCAATAGGTCAACTATATTTGTTGTATGGAAGAATTGTTAGCTGTACATGCCTGCCTAGCATGGTTCATCTGACCTTGACCTCATTTTCATGGTTCATTGGTCAATGTTTAGTTTACTTGGTTAATATTAAGTTTATGTGACAGTTGTAATAAAGCTTTATATTTAGGACTATCAACATAATATCAATGATTAGTAAAGAAGGCGAGACATTTCAGCGTGTGCACTCTTGTTACAATTATAAAAGATTCTAAAAAGTTTATGAATTTTACAGTATATTATATTTTGCATAATCATTTATTCATCATCTGTTGATTTTGAAAACAAAATGTGGTATCTTCATGCCTATAAATTGAATAGTGCAAATGTTTTGAAGGGAAACATGATCAAATTCATTATGTTGCCATTTTACAGTGTTAATTACACTGCTGTTGTTTCTCATTAGATTGATTTGAAATTCAAACAGAAGCTTTTCCAATACAATAATTCAATATTTATTTAGTTAGTTTATAAAATGAAAGGCTAAGCTGTTTACAAACTTTTAGGAATTTGCGTAGGTTGCAAATTTGAAGAATTTTTATGTTTACAAATACTGAAAACTTTCACAACTGATTAGGAAAGATTGAACGATGTTGTTTTCTATATCAAGTTTAGTTTGTGTTCTCTCTTTTCAGGTCTATTTCAGTGACAAAAGTCTTTCATAATTTGGTTGAAACAGACATGGCAGACGACTCTGTTGATACTATAAATAGAAACAGTTTTCACACCACCTGTCCCTAAGGACAGTTATCATTTGCTAATATATGATGTTTCTTTTACACTCCTTCAAGATAGACAAAAAAACAATAATGCATTCAGATGTGTCTCAAGTAAATTCTGAACATTATTGGAATAACAATCACCTGGGCATTGTTTATTTATGGAGCTGTTTATTTTTGTTCTAGTCTTGTTTATCTCATCTGAAATATACAACAAAGTGAAATTGATATTTGTCAGTATGATAGCTGTTAGATGATATAATTCTTAAAGCTTTTAGGGAATTATGGAGATAATTTCACAAAACTTTTCAATAGAAATTGAGTTCAAGCTTATTTGTTTGTGTTAAAAGATATTATGATATGTTTTAATTTTAATCAGAGGATTTAAATTTTAAGTGTTTAATATATGTACTTAAGTTTAGATTGCAGTTTTGTATTCATTAGTGTATTACATGTAGACATATTTTTCATGGCTAAGTTATCTAAAAATCAAAATCAAAATTTTATGGTGTGAAAGTGAATTTAATGTTTTTTTGACCATTTAACTTAGCTATGAGAATTTCATGTTTTTTCATTAATTTTATGATCCTTAAATATTTTGCTTAGTTAAGGTTCTGAACACAATGGCTTTCCCTTAATTTGCATAACCAAAATGTCAAAAAGAACACTTTACAATAAAAACTGAAGGTGTTTTTTTTATCTTTGAGTAATATATTGAACAATTTTGTTAAATCATAACAAATTAGTTGAAAAAGGAAGAACCTTGATAACAAAAACAACAAAGAAAAAAAGAAAAGAATGCTTTGTTATTATTTTTATGCCCCATTTATGGGCATTATGTTTTTCGGTCTGTGTGTCCATTTGTTCATTCATTCGTCCGTCCGTCTGTCCCGCTTCAGGTTAAAGTTTTTGGTCAAGGTAGTTTCTGATGAAGTTGAAGTCCAATCAACTTGAAACTTAGTACACATGTTCCCTATGATATGATCTTTCTAATTTTATAGAGTTTTGACCCCAATTTTATGGTCCACTGAACATAGAAAATGATAGTGTGAGTGGGGCATCCTTGTACTATGGACACATGCTTGTTCATTGATGTAATGTGTTTTATTAAATTTTTCTTTATATGAAGCAAACTGTTTTGATTTTGCTTACATTTTAAGGTGTTTTGTAATGGCAGAAGGGGCTTGAGCTTTTTAAGAATTTGAAATTTTGTATGATGGATTTCAATGAATGTTTAGCCTATGTATATTAATCTAAGATATTAGTATTGAATGAAAAGTTAATGATTTATTATGATGAATTGTTATGTTCAGAGGCAGCTAAGTATTTGCAGATTTTAGTTGCAACTTGTACATTTTGTGCAACAAATTTTGATGATCCACATATGATTACTGTAATAATGTTAGGTTGTTTTTGTATTCAAAATAAAAATAAAATCTCTTTGTTTAATATGTTTTGTTTTAAAGCAAGTTACAAATTGTTTCAGGTTTCAGTTTTTTGTGCCACAAAAGGTCACATGTTTCAAAAAGGCCAGCTTTTGAAATAGTATATCAAAGCTGATTTAATTTGAAATAGTTCGTTGTTAAGCTTAAATTCTAGCTACTTACCAATTATCCTTAAGTAAAGTATCTAGAACTTACATATATATTTGCGTATAATATGTTTGTATGTATATAGCTTGCCTTGAAAGTTAGTAGAATTATGTATTGAATAAATGTATTACAACTTTAGAGATCATCCCTTAGTGACTCCATTCATAGTTGTTATCTGAATCAATCTATCTTTTGACTGATGAGTTTGATAACATGAGACAATTGTTCATTTCAGACATGTTAAATTTAATAAAAATTTAAACAAAAGGATGTTCTCAATGTTGTGATAGAAAAAAGTTTCCCTGTAATTTTGATATCATTATAGAGTAACGATATCAAAATTACAGTGAAAACTTTCCTACATGTCAGTTATTAAGATGTCACTAAAGTACAAATTGTTTTGAATACTTGGCTCTTTTATATGTACATACAATTTAGATATTGTGAATAAAAGTAATGCATACTTTCCTTTTAAAACACATGTGTAGTGAACAATGTATTTCAATCCCAAGTAAAAATTCCAAAAATTAACTACATTGTTTTTAAATTGTGTTCATGTTGTTTCATATATATTTTTGTACTTCTTTTGGGGATAAATAAAGATACAACACCATCAGTGAAATTCTAAAAGATAATCATCAATTGATTATAGAAGGTTTTATTTTATGTAATACCCTTCATAGTTTTTGACATAGTTGAACAGCGGTATACTACTGTTGCCTTTATTTGATTATTTTGATTTTATTTCATGGTTTTGAGTGTTTATTGAAGTCTTGGGTGGGGTCTTGTGATATTATATATGGAGCACTAATATGCATAAAATATTTGCCACTGGTTGTAAATCAATCAATCAATCAATCAATACATCCAATATTAAATGTTTCTGACTAATAGTATGGGGGATTATGAAATTCAAATGAAGATTGATTTATTGATATAAAAAAAGGTAGTTACTAAAAACAAAAAAAATATACATTATCGAAATTACTTAACTGGTATCAATATTTTTATACAAAAGTTTTGAGGAAAATGAAAAAAAAAACAATTTGTCTTTTATAACATTTATATTGTTGATTATACAGTAATGAAACAGTTGTTGATGGTATATACAATTTTATGCTTGTCATGCATATTATGTATGTGTCAGAGGCATCATCTTTATTTGATTGCTTAGATTGATGAGAAACTGAATTTTAGAAAATTAAATTTAAAATTTGACCAAGCGATATTAGATTTTATATTCTGTAAAGTGTTGATGAGCTGTCTAGATTATGTAACCAGAAAGTGATAAATCTTTAAAGAGTGGTTAGGGAAATAAATGAACTTCATGTTGTGTTTGAGTAAATGTTACATTGTATGCAGATTGATATCTTATTTTTGTAGAATTAATTACAGTGTCTATTTGAAAGGCTTTGTCCTTTTGAAATACCAATTGGGCAAAATCTTTTTTTTTTCTAAATTAAACCTTCAGTGCATTTCTTCAAAGTGATCATCTGGGTAAAAATTTTAGAGAATTTTAAGGGAAATTTTGTTAGCATGAAGCAAAAACAGTGTAAAATTGGGCTTAAGTGTTCCCCAGTTAACTAGTTTGAAAACATTCCTCTGAAAAATATTTTGAGGAATTGGTATTGGTTTAATGACAAAACCTTTCAAATAAGCACTGTTAGTTGAAAGTAAAATGCATGTAAACTGAACATCATTCTATTATTTTTATATATAATTGTTTTGGGTACAGATTTAACAGCATTACAGTTTGTTTGTGTCATATCATTATGTTAAATAACGATGTTCCATTCTTCAGTGCCAAACTACATGCCCATTTTTTTTATATAAATACAAGGTATCCATCCTTGTGTCAGTCCGTATTGTAAGGACACACATACAATTCTTTCCAGATTTTGAGTTTTGATGTGTTTGATAATCATCACAGGTCAACTATTTTACAGAAGTTATGTCCTTTGGAAATAAAAATATAAAGACATTGCATTTTAATGACCTCACGCATACATTTCTTTATGAAAATTTTATAAAAGAACCCAAAGTTATTAGTCTTAGACAGATTAATATTTGAATTGGCCGTTGACATTGGGACACTGTTTTCTTACTTTTTTTTTTGAATGGAAATTTGCTTTTCACCTTATACCATTTTTAACTTGCACTGGATTTAAATCATAACTATAGTGTGTTTTTCTTAACATATTTTATTTTAGTTTTACTTTTAAAATGTGTTTTGTTCTAACAACAACAGCTGTTAAGAAGGTGACAGAAATTTATAGAATGTCAATGAGACAAATTGTAATGATTTGTTTTGATATAAACAGTTTTCATGGATCGATTGTTAAAGTTGTTAAATATTAATCTGAATAAAGGTTATGTCAATTTCTGTTTATATTACTTTTTTTTTGGAGCCAACCCTTATCATCACTAATTGTATGTTGCAAAAAACCTGTATAAAATGTTTATAGGTTGCACTTTGTAAATACAACTGCTTCACAAACCACACCTCTCTTTGGGAGAAATATAATATTCATAGATATTTTTTCGTTTGCCTACTTTTTCCCAGATACAATCTCCATGTTTCATATCATTAAAGGGATAGAAGCTACGATTTTGACAAAATAATGACCAAGTTTTAAAGCTGCTAAAATCAAAGATATGTACTTTAAATTAACAATAAGATCGGTGGAATGTTTATATAAAGTACAGAAGTGTTAATAATTGATAATTAATATCGTGTAGCGTGCCTTTTCATCTCATTAATTATGCATCGGGTTTACTTCCCGAACTTTGCCGACACAGCGAGTGAGATGACCAAGTTATAAATAAATATGAACACGTGCTTTTGTTTTCTTACGTATTTGACAATTTCTCTAGATTAAACATACATATTTGAAACCATTTATCAAATTATGTAATCAACAAAATATACCAAATGCCTGCATATTATTCGAACCCAAGGTTCTCCAACAATGGCGATATTATACACTTGTTTTATATTTGTATGACAAAACAATGCCGATAACGTATACGCGTGTTTGTGAATTGAATTGGGGCCTTCATGCAGGGTACACCGGAAGAATAATATTAAATTGTAAGAAGTTGATTTTTAATGTCTTCTAAGTTGTGAGATCACTGCTCTTAAAATTATAAAGATATTTTGGACAATAATGATTTGAACACGTCGCGATTTATTTTAATGTGACCTGGATTCGAAAAGTTCAGAAATGTTTTTTACATTTCGCAAACCGTCGTAACGTGACGGGTGTTTGTAAATGATTCTAAATGACCGTTCTCATCGCCGTTATTTATTTTCAATTTACAATAACTAGTCTGCACCTCTTTACTGTTTCTTTTTCTCGCAGAAACTGTAAACACAATTCCATTTCCGCGATAACATTCCTCTGTTCGACATTTTCCCTTCGAGGGACAACTTGCGATTGCGCATTGGGAACTGCGGAGTTAAGGTCAACATAGGTCATATGAATAAGGGTTGGCTTAACATCGAATTTTTGTCTACAGACAAAAATTAAATTCAGGTGTAAAACATTAAAATGCTTCTAAATGCTAATTGGAAAGTAAACAGTGATGGTTTTATTCATTCTAAATAAACCTTTTGTACAAAATCCGGCATATAGATTAGAAAAATAATTTTAATGAAAATCGTAGCTACTATCCGTTTAAGACACAACTTGGGAATTTTACCAGTATACATACTGTTCGATAGTGGACAAATTGACTTCTCAAGAAGACTCAAAGTAAAAGGAGGGATAGTACAGAATTTTAGTATAAGTTTAAACTCTTAGAAGTTCAAGGCATATAATTGTTGAAAATATGCAGCACAACCCTATGTTTTGACCTTTGCACAAAAAAGTAGCGCACATGAACTTTCCAATCCAGGATATGATTTCTAAGAAATTTCATAGTAAAAGTGCCACAGTTTTAGCTGTAAAAGGAGTTCCTATTGGAAATTGCATTGTCTATATTTACAGAAGTGAAACCTACAAGGATTCTTAAATCATACATGAGTCATGAGAAATAGGAAACATTGTCTAGTTTATGACACTATAAGTCTAACTATGGAACAAATAATCACAAAAATATCAAAATCATTAGTTATGACATTGGCAAAAAAATATACATCAATATTTGCCTTGTTTTTAATGATTAGAATTATATAACTCTGGAAATACTGATCTGAAAATCTTCCAAAATTAACCAAAAAGATGTTTTACACATTATCATATTTGTAAAATACATTGTATTGCAAAATATTGTTTTGGGTAATTTAAAAGCTGTTGCTCATATCTAAAATGGTAAAAACAAGGTCTCAAAATGAGGCTTTTTTTTGGCAGTTTTTGCTATTTTGTTCTAAATGTAAGACGTTTGAGGCCTTAATGCTAATATTATTATATAATAAGACAATATTCAAAGATATAAATACTGATGTCCTTCAGAGTAGTGTCTTATGAACATCTGAATGATGTTATAATTATTTGGTAGATTTATAATACATTTTGATATCCGAATGCACTGGACAAAAAAGGTGGCCTTATCATGCCTTCTCCTTACAGTTTTGACCCCAATTTCATGGTTTACTGAACTAAGTCATGTTGTATAGTGTGAAATTAGTAAATTCTCAGGTTAAAAGTTTTTGTTTAGGTAGTTAACCATGGAGTTGTAGTAACATCAACTTGAAACTTAGTGTGCATGTTCATTATGAGGTCAGTTTTTGAATTTTTTAAGCAAAATTACAATTTTGACCCCAATACAAAGGTTCTCTGTATGTTGTCTTATGGACCATATGTCAAACATGTACCAAACATGGTTGATAGTCCCCCATGATGTGGGGAAGACTCGTATAGATTTTAGGACAATAGTTGGGAAAAACTTTGGTTTCAAAATGTTGTCTTTTTAACTTTTGTTTAACTTGTACCAAACTTGGTTAGTTATTTTAAAATAGGATATGTGAGACCATTATTAATCTTAGGGTCAATAGCTCACAGTCTCAGCAGCTATTGATAACCTGAAAATGGTGGTTTCCAGATGTTCTTTTGAACTATTTGTTCAACTTTAGAGTAAGAAGAATTTTTTAGGGGTCAAGGTCAAGGTCACAGCAGCTAGTGATAGAATGAAATTTGGGTATAATATTTGTTTTTGAATGTTGATCTGCATGACCAACTTATTTTAAAAGGGTCAATAGATCAAGGTCACAGCAGCTTTTGAAAAACTTACATTGGTGGTTTTGATGTGTTCTTTTGAATCAAATGTCCAACTTGAACCAAATTTTTTTGATAATGCTCAATGGGGTGATACAGCTCCTTTTGATTTTTGAGTCATTAGATCAAAGGTCAATGTCACAGCAGTAATTTAAAAATTGAATTTTGGGCAAAATATTTGTATCAGTATGTCATCTTTTTGAACCTTATGTCTGACTTGCACCAATCATGGTTTGATAATCCAAATTTTGTTGCGGAAGACTCATATAGATATAAAGGGTCAATAGGTTAAGGTCACAACAGTTATTAATAAACTAACATCGGTGGTTTTGAGATGTTCTTCTGAATCAAATGTCCAACTTGAACCAATTAATCAAAGAAGATCAATACAAAAAAGTGTATTGCAATGCACCTCGTTGCATTGATTCAATGACTTCCTAACTCACATCTGGTTGCTTCATACCTGGTATTCAGATACCTTATGTTACGAAGATTCCATCTGCTATTTGTCCATTGTCCTTGACCTCATTTTCATGGTTTAGCGACTGCTTGAAAAAATCTATAGTCCGTCAGACAGGGTTCATCTGACCTCGACTTCATTTTATGGATCAGTAATCACGTTACGTTTTCGTGGTCAAGTCCTTATCTCAGATACTGTTGACAATAGGTCAACTATATTTGGTGTATGGAATGATTATATAAGGTGTACATGGCCGACTTGCAGGTTTCATCTGACCTTTACCCAATTTTCATTGGACAATGTTTATTTTTTGTGGTTAGTCTATGTCGTTGATACTATAAGTAATAGGGCCACATATATTTGGTATATGAAATGATTGTAGGGTGTATATGGCTGTCTGGCAGGATTCATATGACCATGAACTCATTTTCATCTTTACTTGTTCAATGTTAGGTTTTTGTGGTTTTGTCAGTTCATCGGATACTATAAGCAATAGGTCAACTATATTTGGTGTATGGATTGATTGTTAGGTGTAGATGTTTGTCTGGCAGGGATATATTACCTTGGCCTCATTTTCATGGTTCATTGGACAATGGTTAGTTTTTGCAGTTTGGTCTGTTTCTCAAGTACTATAAGCAATAGGACCACTATATTCGGTGTATGGAATGATTTCAAGGTGTACATGTGTCTGACCTTGACCTCATTATCATGGATCATTGATAAAGATTAGTGAATGTGATACTTGTAGATATAACAGACTTTCAACATCAATTCAATCAAGATAAGTAAAGCAGGCGAGACATTTCAGCGTGTGCACTCTTGTTTTTTTTTTTAGTTATGACATTTATTAAAAAATTCTATCAAAAACGTTTTTATGGAAACGGCAAGTACATATAGTTAATATCATAAATTGTCACTAGAGAAGTAGTGCTTTCTGTAGACATCCACGCAGCTGATTTAAGTTAAGAAATTTGGTTGGCCAGGTGTCTCCAGTCTGGTAAAATATCTGTTCGGCGAAGAGAGATGTCTGTTGGATTCACGTCTAGTCGAATGGGAACAGGCAGTAAATTCATCCTTCCTTAGAATAGCAAATGGCAAAGCAATTGTTTTCAGATGAAACAACCAAGTTCTTAAGATGTCCCGTTGAAAGTCAAAACTTGTTTTCACTGATGCTACCCAATCGACCCTATTATTTAGGGACAAAGTCGAATATTTCAATCATTGTCTGTCGACCTACCTTGTCAGCACAATCTACCTAGCTAATTTATCATTTATAAAAATAAGATTTTTCGTGATAGACATTGTCCAAACAATCAACCATACTGTAATCTGCTTCTAGCATTTCTTATGTGATATGGAATTCGTAAGCCACCAGATTTTGAAACATCTGACAAAACAAAAACAAATAATCTTAATTATTACTAAACGGGTTGGTTAAAAATTAATAAAACTAGATTGGGCTGTGGGCGAATGAAAACCCCTCCAAAATGACAAAGAAGTGAAGTGGTCGAATGGGAAAATTTTCAGAATTAAAGTGATATATAATCATGTTAATGTAAACGATGAGCAGGTAGACTAAACCTTAAGCTGATCTATATCTCCATAAACGGAAAATGTTTGCACCTAAAATACTTACAAGAAAACCAAATACAATATATTGTCGTTCTGTGATCAAGTACTAAACTAAATGTTTTATTAGGCCATTCC